GGGATGGGTTAGCCTGGTGATGGGTATTAAAGAGGGCACTTATTGAATGGAGCACTGGGTGTCATACGCAAACAATGAATCATGGAACACTACATCAAATAAATAACAAAACAAACAAACAAAAAAACAAGGCGAATTGTAACGATGGGGTGAACCTAGCATCCAAACTGAGATGAATACTCAGTAATAAATTCCATACTCCAGAGTGTATAGTCAATTTCTCAAATACCAGACTGTTGTGGATTTATTCATTTATGCTTAATTTTAGACCAATGCCTCTGGTCCTGGGACTAAATAATATTTAGTGAAGTGTTAATATTAAAATTCCATGTTTTGAATTGATACACAATAACTGTTAAATATAGAGCAGAGAATGGGACTTTCTTGCTCTCTCAAAAATGTACTGCAGTGGGGCGCCTGGGTGGCTCAGTTGGTTGGGTGGCTGCCTTCGCCTCAGGTCATGATCCTGGAGTCCCAGGATCGAGTCCCGCATCGGGCTCCCTGCTCGGCAGGGAGTCTGCTTCTCCCTCTGACCCTCCCCCCTCTCATGCTCTCTCTCTCTCATTCTCTCTCTCAAATAAATAAATAAAATCTTTAAAAAAAAAAATGTACTGCAGCCCAGAGTAATGGGTGATGGCTGAAAAGCACCATGAAATTCTAAAGATTAGGCTGGATGATTAATCAGGAAGAGTCTTTGAAGGTCTTTCATAGGAGAAGGGCAAGAAGGAGGGACACATCCCCTCCCAGGCATGATGAAAGCGGAGAGGCAAGAGAACTACTCATAGAATTCGGATGGTTGGCCAGATCAGGAGATTGACCTCCCATCCTGCCCATGGTGATGGAGTCATGCAGTCATGGAGTCCTGCCCCGGCTGGTACCACAGCAGTGTGTGAGAGAGCTTGGGGGACAGCTTGAGTCTAGAGATGCAGTGGTTTCTGTTTCCACTATGATAAATCTGAGGGCAGGATGCAAGATACAGGCAACAGCTGTTCATGATAGCCAAATGAGAAGATAAAGGTCACCAACTAGATGAGATATATTTCCACATTTGATGAGACAACAAAGTTTGGATCTTTTAATGAACCAGCTTCAGTAATAAATTTAATTTAAACAAATGTTTCACATAAATAGTGACTTTCCTGATCACATGACACTTCGGGAAAAAAAAACAATTGAATACTCTTGCCATAGGAAAATCTCAGTTAAATATTTAAAGTTATTTTGTAAAAAGTAAAAAATAAGTAAATAAAGTTCTTTTGAACAGTAAGTTGCATGTACAGTGAGTTTTACTTTAGGGAATCACTGGTTGATAGAAACAACTAAGTGAAATCCAAAGTTATAAATAAATTAACCAATTGGTGGTAGCTATTACTAATCATTACAAAACCAAATTTTATATATGTAATTATTTTATATGTATATTATATGTAATTATTAATTTTCTTTGAGTTATATAATTTAATAATACCTACACATTTTCATTAATGAACTTCAACAAATATTTAAGCTTGTATTCTCTGGAAGACCCTGGAATTGAAATTCAGAACATGATGATGTCACCAATGAGTTAAAGAATGCCTTTCTTTTCATGGGGCTTCTCCTTTTGAGCTACACTTGGATTTTAAAAGGAAGAGAAAGAAAAAGTATAGGAGTTCACACCCACTTACCTGAAGTTACTATAAAATTTAAACCTATTAAGTTTATAACCTCTCCCTGTGGAACTACCTGATGGTCTTTAATATTTATGGATCTCTTGGTTTGCAAATATTTACACATAATATTTAGTTCCATGTTCCGTCTTTTTTTTTGACCCAAGATTCAAGTGCATAACTTCTGAAGTAACTGGAGAAGTGGAATGGGTAGACGGAGTATGACTGTTCAGCAATCAGCTGACAATTAAAACTTACCAGAACCCTTCTTTCAAAAAAAGGAATGAAATGGCATCCAGGCTACATTTCCCAAATTTATTCTAAGTAACTAAGATACAAAAGATGCCTTTTATGTTCATGGAGTCACAATGCACTGAATGTTCACTATGTGCTAGATGCACAAAATTATTTAATACATAAATTCCAAAAGCCTGTATTTTTAAAAAGACTCTAATTATAAGTGAGCAAATGTATTTGTTTTTAGTATGGCTCTTTCTTTAAAACCAGTTTTCCCTCTGCACTGTTAAAAATGGAAATTATTAAGAAACTGGTCAAAAAGCTCATCATCCTTTTGTGTTCTGCTTATTTCTACTCACTAGATGATGTTTCGTTTCATGTTAGAAACTGCATCTCTGATCCTCTGCTTCCTGCAACCCCTACATGTTCCACTTGTCCCCACCTGTCAGGCTCAAGCTCATAGCTATATTTGGATTGTTCCTGCCCTAAACCAGATCTATTTAAAATGTCATTGGCTGAGAAAGGAAGGTTTCAGTCCTTCTCAGGGCTGATGACCCATTCAATCTCCACACATTACCCGGGGTCTCACTGCCTTTTCCAAGACCATTTCTTCAGAGTGTAGCTACCCTTTCTTGCCAGACTTTGTCCAATTCAATTTGACCAAACCTTGTTTTGTAATCCCCTTGAGACTGTTCTTTTGGTTGTCACCTTAACTCTGGTCCCAGGCCCTCTGCATGGTCTATTCCTTTGGATCTCCTCATCCAATCCTAGAGTAGAAATGCCCTTGTAAACACAACCACACAATCAATAATAGTAAGCATCTTTCTTGGACATGACAATTAGTTTTGTAAATATTTCACTTTGCTATTGTTTTTAGCCACTTAAAATAAAATTATGCTTTCTCATATATCAGCCATTATACAAACCTAAATTTTATCAAAATACAATTTCATGGGTCATGAAATTGGGTCATGTGTTTGGGATTTTTTTTCACTCTAGAATTCTGTAGTTTATATATATGAATATATTTTAATCTAATATTTTTTTACATAACCTTTTCAAAAATTTATTTCTTCACACATTCAGTAGTCTTCACAAGACCTAATGTTAGTAGAATTTTTATTCATGTTTCAGGATATTATTATCATTAATTTTTTTTTAAGATTTTATTTATTTAAGAGAGAGAGAGAGTGCAAGCAAAGGGAAGGGGAAGGGCAGAGGGAGAGAGACAAGCAGACTCCCTGCTGAGTGTGGAGCCTGACGTGGGGCTCGATCCCAGTACCCCAAGATCATGACCTGAGCCAAAGTCAGATCCTTCACCAACTGAGCCACCCAGGTGACCCTTATTATCGTTATTTCAACAGCTAGTTTCTGTGCTTGCTTTGGCAGCATAACTACTAAACAACTAGTTTCTTTTCTAATTCTTCTGGGTACTTGGAAATGTGTTGTTTGGTGCTCCTTAACAATGTATTTGTTATTGTTGATTACTTTAAAAGAAAATAATTCGAATATACATACATACTTTGATGAACTGAAAACTGTCTTTCATGTACCTCCTTTCTTTCTATGCCTCTCACTTATTTAAAAAAGATTTTATTTATTTATTTGAGAGAGAGGGAGAGAGGGAGAGAAGCAGACTCCCTGATGAGCAGAGAGCCCAATCTGGGGCTCGATCCCAGGACCCAGAGATCATGACCTGGGCCAAAGGCAGAGACTTAACTGAGCCAACCAGGCACCCCATGCCTCTCACTTCTTTTATTCCAATTCACATAAGAACTCTTTCCTGACAAATCAGTCATGAGTCAGTTGAAATGGGATTACTTTATTTGAGCCAAGATTAAAGGACAGTTTTGATTCAAATGTGCTGGTTTGTTCTACAAGAACATTGCATCACTTTCAAAAGCATCCCTCGTAGCTCCTCTAATGCCCCTAATTCCTTGGCAATACTCTAAAATGAGCTTAGCAAATCAACAGTTCTCAAAGTGTGGTCCGCAGAGCAGCAGCATAAACAACCTCTGGGAACAAGTAGAAATGTAAATTGTCCAGCCCCAGCCCAGACCTACTGGATCAGAAACAGTAAGGGTGGAGGACTACCCAGCAATCTGTGTTTAAACAAGCCCTCCAGATAACTTTGATGCACACTAACGCTCTCTGCAGTAAAACCAAACGTAGGCTTTTAAATAAGAAAGTGACATGATTAGAGGGTGGTTAAAACACCTGCTTCATACAAGCATTTCACAAAGTTAAACATTTTAAAAAGTCATTTCGGGGGAGCCAGTTTTAGCTATTCCATATTAAAATGGTCTTTCCGATGGAAACCATAACAAATTTTAATGAAGCAACATATTTTACATTATTAAGGGCATAAAATACTCACAGCAAATGCAGAAACATTTTTTCCATGACAATGGAATCAAAGAAGAATAATTTACTAGATAACTTGAGCTGCCTTCATCCTCTGCTGGATTAAATTAGTCTACATGTTAATTGAACCTCAAATCCTTGGAAATTAGCCATTAGGATAAGATGGCTTTTGAAAACTTAAAAATCGAAAATAAAATTTCTTAGAATAATTACTTTTGTAGGATGAAAGAAATAGTATCGAAAGGAAGGTTGGAACGTTCCAAATCATAACAAGAAGGGGATAATGTGAATTGCTGGGTAAGACTAGGGAAGTAGAAGGTACCAAGAAGGATGTGGAAGATACATTTCACCTGCTTTACATAGCCTACAGCTTGCCCTTGGAAGGACTCCCTCCAGACAGGTTATCCAATCTCTTTGTATTTGTTTGTAAATGAACCTCACTATTTTGACATCGAGAGCCCTACATCATGTGAATCTTATTAAATCCAATTCATTATTTTTCTGTTTTTCAGTTCGTGTTTCCCCAATGTCCATTGTGATGATTGTACTCTTTCTCTGTTTATTTTTTCTAGATTTTCCCTACTAACATTAGAGCACACAGATATTTCAGTGAAAGTGCAATGGTTCTTTGGGGTCCTCTGTAATACCCCTAGGTTATAGGTCATTTACCATGTATCATCCATGTGGAGAACAGGGTCCTCGATGTCAGGGTTATTTTTTTCCATGTTCTTCTTTTTTCAGTATCAAACTATGGGTGTGAATATCAAGGGTCAGTGCAGCCTTAACCAACAGTAAAATGGCTAATGGTGTTTATTTCAATATTTTAGAAGAAGTTTTATTTCTTGACATTTTGGCGATGATTCTTTGGTTGCTATCTTCAGACTCTACTGATGGAGAGGAAGAAATTTAGAAGAATGTTTCACATTCCCCTTTTATAACAAATGTTTTACCTCTGCACAACAGATACCACTGACATATGATTACTTCCAAATGTAAAAGCTGAACTTTATCTGGAGGGTCTTGACCAAAGAAAAGAAGATTTCTGTTCAGACGTTTTCTATATGCATGAGTCACTCTGTTGGGTCCAACTTTCATTTATACTCTTACCTGAGATCAGGCCCCTTTCATTGGCTACTTGTAATCCCATTGGAGTGGGAATTGTGGTGGCAATGTGAGTGATGTCTTTAATGTGAAATACTGAGATTTTACTTGATTGCACACAAGGATTTTAAGATTTATAGAATATATATATATATATATACTTTTTATTGCAGATAATTAATGGGGCAGTGATCTTTCTTTTCTTCAGCTATATTATCTTGTTTTCCTTTCTGTAGGAAATGAATGTGCAATACATATACATATTAGTTTTAGGGGTCAATGATCTACATAAAAAATTGAATCATTAGATTATTTTGGTCAAAAATATCTAGACTCTTGAATATAAATATTGTCCATATGGTTACTAAATTTCAAGCTATTATGCTTAAATCCAATTTAACCCATTTAGAATCTGATTTTTTTTTTTTTTTTGGCATCAGCAAAGCAATACTCTGCAAAATACCTGCCACAGAAAAGATTCTATTATACAGGCAATTCCAGCTTAGTACCAGCAAACATTCAGTGTTTAAGATTGTGGCATTATGATGGATGATGGCACATTCCTAAACATATCAATCCTTTTTCAACTGCAGCTGCACCATTATGCCTCTCAAAATCATTAATTCAACAGCACTGCCTTTCAAGCATGATTCACAATTAAATTCAAACTCACAAAAATGTATCTGCCAATAATTCTTAAACTTTTTGTTATCGTGACATTATTTTTTAATAATTCCTCAATTCTTGTGGTGCATATTCATCATGGGATATATTTATTTCATTCATATAGTTAACCAATATGTATTAATTACTTACTATAAACCAAGAATACAGTGCTAGGAATGAGGGATATTTTACAGGACACTTTATAGGTCGTACCAAGTTCTTTGCTTCCTGGAAATTATGAACTAACCTCATTTTTTATGAAGAGTATCTAATGCATTTAAATGGGGATCAAGGGCTGCAGAATTTGGCAGTAGCCTTTGAGATACACAAAAAAATTATAAAGCAAGGTTTGGAATCATTGCCTAATACAGATTTTCAACTCTAGAATATCTGAGAATGAAGGTGGCTGTGTTTTTATTTTGCTTACTAAAACAGTATCTGAAGTCTTACAGAAAGCAGTAATGAATACCTGCAATTATCATATGCTGAATTTGACTGTGAATACAGTGTATTTTGAGAGTCAGTCTAAGTGTGCATTAAATACTTCATAACACAAAAGTAAAATTGAGTAAATTCCTCTTAAATAAAATAAGACATTCCTTGCAGGAGTTAGGTATATGATATGCATTTAAGATTGTGTGAAGAAGCAGACAGTAAGCATCATTTGGGCAGAGACCTAACTTAGCTTTTACCCTTATGTTTCCATGGTACAATTTAACCATTTCATCTTCATTCTAGAGAATACATGCAACACAGAGTGTAGAATGAGTGAGTGAATGAACTAATGAGCAAAAATATTTTAATTAGCTCATTGTCTCATACATCCAATGGGAAGGGGTAATGTTTTGCATTGTCTATTGATGTTCCCAAGGGACATGGTAATGCTTTCTGAAGGCTGTAGGTAGGTATATAAATTAATACAGTGTTACTATCAAAAGTCAGACCTCTTTTCACTTAATTTGTTCCATTCTTTGTTTCTTTGCAGAGAGATTCAATGTGTATCTTATGCCTACACCAAATCTGGATATTTACGGTGAATGCACAATGCAGATCACTCATGAGAATATCTATCTCTGGGATATCCACAATGCCAAGGTCAAACTGGTGATGTGGCCTCTCAGCTCCCTGAGGAGATATGGACGGGACTCAACATGGTTTACCTTTGAGTCAGGAAGGTAAGCTCTAAGTGCCACAACAACTAAGGAGGTGGGTGACAAATAGACACCTGAAGGACAGGTTCTGTCCACTAGTTCCCAGGATGATCACTGTTTTGGAAAAGGGTAGAAATCACCAAATATATAATTTCTTCAGATTTTTGTTGACAATCTGAATAAAATGTATTCATTCTATGACAGGTTAATTACCCTATTCAAAACAGTTCAGTCTTTTACACTGGCCTCAAACTAATTTAATAATTATTTTAATCATGCAATATATTATTATATTATTACAATACTATATTTTTGGTGTATCCTATAATATGTTCAGTGCAATAGGATTCCCATGAAATTCAACATGTCCTTACTGGCATTATTTTTGTGAGTTTTTAATAAGCAAAAAAAATTGAAAGGAGTTTTATACTAAATTGTTGATATATTACTTTTTAGGTTTCCGATATGTTAATTCAGTATTCATTTATCTAGGTTTCTATGTTAGTAACATTAAGTGTAAATGTTAATTCAGAGTGACTGAAGAAATGTTGGCAAATCTATAATATATGAAATGCATAACCCAGATTTTAAATAGAGTATGTCAAAGAAAATACATTGGTTTCTTGGTCATAACATATGGTTGGAATCCATAAATGTCTTAAACGAATGCTTGTTTCATAATCATTATTTACAGACACGAGTTTAGACATGAACTTCAACCAGATAAATGAATGTCTTTGTGCAATGACCCTTTGTGATGTTGTTGTCACTCATCCAAGACAAGACCTACTTAGATTTGGGGATTCTATATAAGAGATACTTAATGTATCAGTCTTCCCACTGGGAACATGATTTATACATTCTGAAAATGAATCTGTGGCATTATAAGACAATTATAGTGAAGTTTTGTTGTACTTGATATAGCAATTTTAGTTTCATAACTTTATTCTTACAAAACCATTAAATAATTATTCAAGGTCAGGTTTTAATAATATCCATCTAGGTTAGGCCAAGGCCGTATGTCTTTTAAAATTTTAAGGAGAGGGAAAAAACCTGAACTGAGCTGAAGTAATTTTACCAGTCTGGACCCTTTTGCCTAGGTAATTAAACCCTCTCCCACACTGATTTCTCTAAGAGCCTTCAATTCTATGTTTACTTAGTGGCTATGAGTTCACTCAACTGTCTATTTTCAATCCACCTAGATCCTGACAGTAATAATAGTAATCACATTCTAGATAACTATTAAGAAATAAATATTCTCTTAAGAAAATGAATATTTTTAGGCATATACACTGTTTTTAAAATTATATGGTTATTAAAAAGGGATTATAACTTATTCACTGACCTAAGGCTTATGATACTTTTTTTTTTTTTTACTGGCCATAAAAATTAGTGTATGTTTGGAAAAAGCGATGGTTTATTTTCCTTAGGTGATAACATTATCTCCAGAATTCCCTCCATTGGATTTTTCTCCTACGTATTCCTATTTGTCTTTTTTTTTAATATTCATTATTGACATAGAGTTGACACACAGTGATTTGACAGTTCTATGCATGACTCAATGATAAATGTGTCACCATTTATCATGATAAATGTGTCACCATTTGTCATCATACAACATTATTGACTATATTCCCTGTGCTGTACTTTTCACCTCCATGACTCACGTATTTTATTTTATAACTGGAAGTTTGTACCTGTTAATCCCCTTCACCTATTTCTCCCATTTCCCTACCCCCCTCCTTTTTGTTTGTTTTCTGTATTTATGCATCTGCTTGGGTTTTTTGTTTGTTCGTTTGTTTTGTTTTTTTTAGATTCCACATATAAGGGAAATCATATGATATTTGTCTTTCTCTGTCTGACTTACTTCACTTAGCATAATACCCTCTAGTTCCATCCATGTTGTTGCAAATGGCAAGATTTCATTCTTTTTTATGGCTAAGTAATATTCCAGTGGGGTGTGTGTGTGTGTGTGTGTGTGTGTACACACCACATTTTCCTTTTCCACTCATCTATGAATGAACCTTTGGGTTGCTTCTACATTTTGGTTATTATAAGTAATGGTGTATTAAATATAGGGGTGCATGCATCTTTCTGAATTAGTGTTTTCATTTTCTTTGGGCAAATACCTAGTGGTGGCATTACTGGATCATATGATATTTCCATTTTTAATTTTTGAGGAACCTCCATATGTTACCTGCTTATTCCCTCATTTTAGAAGGCATCTACTCAGGATTTTAAATAACAAGTAAGGTTTTTTTTCTTTTATTTTCTGGTGGTTATATAGAATTTTCACTCCATTTGTACCTGTCCACCAGTTTTTGCCAATTTCTTGTTCCTCCAAAGTCTTTAAGGGGAATATACTGGCTCTCCACAGGTGATTAAATTGATATTCTCGACCAAAACATCAAACTACCTGATATGCAACTTGTCTTATCTGACAGTCAATATTAATTGGTCTTCTATGATCTTTGTAATTTTTAATAATTTTAAGATACATTAAAAAATAAAATATCTCAGAGTAGGTAAGGCCCATAATCCTCAAGTTTTTTCTATTTTATTTTTGTTTTGGTGTTTGTTTAGTTTTGTTGTTTTAGGAGATAATTCTTTTCTACATTTTTTGTTGGTCAGAATAACTTCTTAAAAAAATAAATAATATCTAAAAATCATCTTGACACACACTCCTACCTGTCCTGGGAATCAGAGAGAACGAGATTTAGGTCATAGCTCTGTCACTTCTTAATAACTTAGCATGTGCCATTTGGACCTCTCTGTCTTCCAGTTTTCTTCTTTGTATTAGAAGAATTATAATCTCTACTTCCTACATAGATTTGGAGAGATTGAGTTTGTGAATATAAAGCAGCATATGACACAGTACTAATAGTCACATAATGGGTATTTAAGAAATCATGATTATGTACTTTTCCTCAGAAATTATGTAATTTGTGTTTTTTTCCACTTTCTGAATGAAGTTTCTACTTACCTCTAAAGAGCTCTATTTTTAGAGAATTCTGTGAAGGTATATTCTTTAGCCAAACACTGGAAATGTGAGGAGAGATAAGCCAAGCAAAAAGCTTGGGAGAAGTCGGCATTCAAATGCTAGAATGATCATTAGAAACTTAATGTCTAAGACTAAAAACCAGTGTTGCTTGTCATGAGTCAGGAGTTTGAGACGAAAATGGGACTGGTGCAGTAAGACTGGAGTACAAATAAGGGGAAAATACCGAATGGCTGTCTTTATGCTAACTGGTGCTTGGAGCATAATTTTATGTGTTACTAGGTGCCTATTTCATTGAAGAGTCAGCAGATATACAAGAACTCTCTAATTTGCCATGTGTAATACTTTGGAATAAGTTACACTCCAATAGTATTGCCTGTGGGAAAATCAGAGTGTAGAGCAAGGAAAATCAAACTTCCTTACCCTTAAATAGATTAAGGGAAAAATCTATAAGAATCTCGAAAAAGCTAGTAGAACTAAGAAGTGAATTTAGTGAGGTTAGAACTAAGAAGTGAATTTAGTGAGGTTAGAACTAAGAAGTGAATTTAGTGAGGTTAGAACTAAGAAGTGAATTCAGTGAGGTTACGTCAATATACAAAAATCAATTTTATTTTATATACAAGTAATGCATAATTGAAAGGGAAAATGTTTTGAGTATCTCTTATAATGTCTTGAAAATATGAAATATGTATAGGTTGTTTTAACAAAATATGTGTGAGACCTGTACATTGAAAAAACCACAAAATATGACTGAGAGAAATTAAAGAAGACCAAAATAAATGGAGATATATACCACATTTGTGAATTAGAAGACACTATATTCATATGATAACAATCCTCTCCATGTCAAGTATAGATTCATTATAATCTCAATAACAATCCCAAATGACTTTTCTAAATTAAATGACAAGTTGATTCTAAAATGTATTTGGAATTGCAAAAGAGCTAGAGTAAGCTAAAACAATTTGGAAAAAACATATTTGATGGATTTCTACTACCCGATTTTAATACTTGTTATAAAGTTACAATAATCAAGACAGTGTGGTATTGACATAAGGATAGACCTAACGATCACTGGAAAAGAATGAAAAGTTCAAAATAGACACCACATATATGGCCAATTTATTTATTTTTTAATATGCTGTGATAATTCAATATGAAAAAGAAAACAAATGGTACTGGAATCACTGGATACCTATTAAAGAGGAAAACCAACAGCTCTTTACCTCACTGCCATGGACTGAATTGTGCCCACCTCCTCCCCCTGCAATATTCATATGGTGAAGTCCTAATCCAAGTGTGATGGTATTTGGAGATGGGGCCTTGGGGCCTTTGGAAGACCATTCAGTGTAAATGAGATCATGAGGGTGGGGCCATCATGGTAAGATTAATGTCCTAAGAAGAGATACCAGAAACTTTGTTTTCTCTCTCCTGTCATGTGAGGACACAGGGAGAAGGCGGCCATCTACAAGAGACAAAGAGAGTCCTCACCAGAAACTGACCATGCTGGCACCTTCATCTCGGACTTCCAGCTTCCAGAACTAGGACAAAATAAATCTCTGTTCTTGAAGCCCCCTGTCTACAGTATTTTGTTATGGCAGCTCTAGCTAAAACACTTCACCATACCCCCCTCAAAAAAACTCCAAATGGATATAGACTTAAATGTAAAAGCTAAAATTATAAAATGTATAGAAAAAAATATAGGAAAATATTTCTAACCTTGAAATAGGCAGATATTTCTTAAATACTAAACCAAAAGCACAATCCAAAGAAAAAATATTGATAATTTGGGCTTCATCAAAATCAACATCTGCTCTTCAAAAGATATCCTATAGAAAATGAAGAAAAAAAAATGAAAAGGCAAGCCATAGACAGGGGAAAAAATTCACAAATCCTTTATCTGACAAAGAATTTATATTTGTAATCCTTAAAGAATTCTTACAGCCCAAAATAGGGAGAAAAATAATCCATTAATAAACTAGGCAAAAAAAAAAAAATTTGGACAGGTTATAAAAGAAGATATGCT